CTTTACCCTTCTTTGTGGCTGCTGCGGGTTTCAGCATTGGCTTCGGCTTCGCCGCGGCCGTTGTCGACTGCGACACTTTCGTGGTTGTCGACGAGGTCTTGCTTGGAGGCTGGCCTGACTCTTTTTGTCGTTTGTGCTGTTTTTTCTGTGTCGCCTGCTTCGTCACTGGCGCCGGCACAGGTTGTTCCACAACACCTCCAGCCGCCGAGCTGCCCTCTTCTTTCGATTGCATGACCTCTGGCGGCGCTGTGCTCATACGGATGAGGCCACTATCGTTGAGCAGGTCCTCGTTTGTCTCGCCAGAAGTATTGTCGGGATGAAGGGCGGCGGCACGAGAATCGTCAGCGGCTGAAGAAAACTTCGTTAGTGGCGGACAAATGCGACAGCAAAGGTGCCACTTACTGAACGCGGTATGCAGATAGGCCCTCATCTTGTCCAAAGTTTCTTTCTGGAAGTGGCGGGATCATATTGCAGGGAATGTAACAGGCGCTGCCGCTCGATTCTCGCCATAGGCAAAGCTAAACTTCGAAGTCAGCATTGTTATTTGTCCAATGCAATTTCAGACTCACTCGATTGTCTGAATAGCGCCGTTCCACTTAGGAATAGGTCCTCCCATGACGATTAGAATGTGTAAGCCCGTAAACTCCGCCAGACACGTCATCAGTGGCTCCAAAATGAGGGGGAGATTGTCGATGGCGCTAAATGAAAACCCATGAGTTTGCGGACTGGACACGGGTAGGGCCGAAGCTTACCGTTGACGCGACGCTGGGTCCTTTGGCGGCCAATCCACCATTGCCTCGTCGAAAGCCTTACGGAGGACTTCTGCGTCAGCCTCTGCCTTGTCCTTGTATCGTTGCTTCTCCGATTCCTCCATCTTGTTCCACAAATTACGAGCGGCCTCGGTTCTCATGGTAATTGGCGGGCTGTCGAGTCGTTTGCCGTTTTTGTCGACCCTCGCATGGATTGGTGTCGCATCCCAAAGTCGTTGGACTTCGCGGTCTATGCTCTTGGAGTAATCCTCGTGCATGAACTGCTGCAGTCCTGGCACGGCCCGAATGACCGGTTTCGTCTCGGAGAGCTTGAATAGAAAGTGGGTGAGGGGATCATGGACATCCACCTTCTTTTTCGTCGAAGGACCAGCCGAGTTGTGTTGGGTAGGTGCTTTGCCCTTCTTCTTAGTACGCGTTTGGGGATGTTCGACGCGGTAGATGATCCAACGGCGAATGCGCTATGAGAGTCGTGGTCAACATCAAATGTCACAAGCGGAATGACAGTAACAACCCACCCGCTTCATGCTGTCCATCCACTTATTCTTCTTCTCCTTCTCTTCGGGCGACAAATGACTGTTATCGTCTGGTGGGGTGGTCGGTGTCCAGACTCGCAAGGGCAACTCGGGCTCCTCGGAATCTTTGAGGTAGTACGGGATGTGATAGAAGAACTCGTTATAAACTTGCTGCAAGTAGTCTTCGGTTGCTCTGGCGCCTGCCATGCGAGCCTGTCTCAAGGGTTCGACATGCGCATCCATGATGTCGTCGCGAACACCGTCTGCCCAGCTCTTATTGCTTTGAAGCTCGGCCTTGGGCTTCTTTCGAGACTTTTTTGGGACTGACGACTGTTTCGCAGCATTGCCGTCGTCGCCGTTGCCTTGGTGGTCGTCGTCGTCGTCGCCGTCGCCGCCGGGCGCCAGCACCATCTCCCAAGTTTGGGCCAAGAGGTTTTGAAGCTTGGTTTTCTGGTGGGCAATAGTCAGCGCAATTTGGAGGACGGCATGGGAGTACTGACGCGTTTCAGCAGAGGTTAGCAAAGGTGCCTACAAGCTAGACCTCCCCCCGCGTTACTCCAAGCTCCACCCCGTCTTCCCCCGTTGTTAAGCTCGAGCCCGCTCAGGACGACCCCCTTCGATGGACGACCCGGCTACGACGAACCGCCCCCGAACTAGAGGACGGAGTTCCCGAATGGGAAGTCGAGGAAATCTTGGATGCCAGGATAAGGTATAAGCGTCTTAACTATTTCGTCAGGTGGAAAGGCTACGATGCTTCACACGACTCGTGGGTTCGGTTCGACCGTGTCTTTGCGCCAGACAAGATTGCGGACTTCTATCGGAGATACCCGGGTAAACCACGGCACATCGCCTCAGCAACCTTCGACTCGCTGCCCTTCAGTATTATGGTCGGGACGCCGCATTCAAAGGGGGGTGATGTCAGGGGAACCCCCCGGCCTCCGCCGGACCCTCCGAACGCATCCGAGGCGCATCCGACCGGCGCCCCCTCGGACGCTCCGACCCACCCCGACCATCGTCCACGGCCTCCTTCGCCCGCACAATCACCGATCCGTCAAGACCCTCCCAACGATCACCTTGGGACAGAGCCTGCGACGCCGCTCAGGCCTTCTGCGCTCTACGTCGGCAGTTACGGACGACCAGTATATAGTTGGCGCCCTAGCAGGCGGACCCTTAGAGTTTCTTCTCTTTGGATCCTCCCCTGCTAGGTCGGTCCCTCCGTGTATTTCCCGTAGCTTTTATTCACGCTTTGGATCCTCCCCTGCTAGGCTTTTCGTCGGAGTCTCCAGGGTTGCCCTTACAACGATGAAGATTTCGCTGGTGTGCTCAAGTTCAAGCTGCACGTCATCTGCGCAAAAAACAAGCACTTCCGAGCACAAGATGTGGTGGACCTCATTGCAGACGAAGAGATGCAGTCACGACTTGAGGCTGCTGGCGTTCAGAAGCGGTCAATCTCTGTCTGGACTGCGCGTCGTTGGCTGAAGCGGATGGACTGGTGCTTTGGAAAGAGGAAGAACGGGATGTACGTTGACGGACATGAGCGGGAGGATGTTGTTGCGTACAGGAATGCTTTTGTTAAGCGGTGGATGGAGGAGTACGAACCACGAATGATTGTTTTTGACAACGATGGAAAGGAAGCCAGTCGACCCAATGGCGACCACTTCAGGCTCACTGGGAAATGTGTTGGCCAACCGTTTCAGCTCATTCCCGTCACGCACGATGAGTCCACGTTTTACAAGAATGATCGTCGAAGAACGGGTTGGATTCATGTGTCAGCCAAGGCCACCCCAGAAGCAAAGGGCGAAGGAGAGTCCATCATGGTCTCTGACTTCCTTGTTGCTCATTGGGGACGTTTAAAACTCAACGAGTGCGTGTATATCTTCTATTTTCCCAATAACCTGTCCGGATTCTAAGCAGCTGGGAGGCACGCATCTTCTTCCGTGCAGGCAAGAACCGTGACGGGTACTTTACCAATGACGAGCTACTTGCTCACATCAACAATGCCATCGACATCTTCGAGGAGAAAACTCACAAGTTTGCCACCGGCCTCTTCCTTTTTGATAATGCTCCCAGCCACCAAAAGCGTGCTCCCGATGCCCTCTCGGCCCGCAAAATGCCCAAAGGACCACATGCCACCTGGACCCATATCCCAAATGGCCCCAAAATGCGACCTGGAACACTTGCAGATGGTACCCAGCAGCCGCTTTACTGGCCTGTGGACCACGCTACAATGCCGGGTTGGTTCAAAGGGATGGAGCAGATTCTTCGTGAGCATGGACTTTTCCGTGCTGGAATGAACGCCCAATGCCCTGGCTTCAAGTGCCAGCCCAACGCAACCGATTGCTGCTGTCGTCGGGCGATGTTTTGCCAACCTGACTTTGTTGCCCAGAAATCAGCCTTGCAGGAGGTTGTTGAGTCTCGTGGGCACATTTGCGATTTCTATCCAAAATATCACTGTGAACTTAACTTCATTGAGATGTATTAGGGTGCAGCAAAGGCCATCTATCGGAAGACTGCCAAGACAAAAACAATCGATGAGATGGAGGACAACATGCGAACAGCTCTTGACACTGTTCCCCAACTGTCAATCTTACGGTGCGTCTACATCTGGCAAGTTATCTTACTGATAATTTGCTCAAAGATATGCCAACCGTGCTGCCCGCTTTATCTCAGCATATGCAGGTGGTCTCAATGGGGAAGAGTTGGCGTACATTCAGCGCAAGTACAAAGGTCATCGTATGTTACCTGCATCTATGATTAATGAGATTAAGGCTGATGTAGCTACATTACAAAAGTAGTTATAACTTATAATTTGCTATTTTGAATGCTCCAACAGTTAAATTTTTTTGAAAAAAAAATTCGGATCCCTTATTTTTGTCGCTGATCCCATCAATTGATGGATTAGTCAACGTGCGGGGTTCCCACGCCCTCTACCTTACTTGCCACCGATCAGTGATGGCAACCCAGAGCAGCAATATTAATTAATTTTCAGTGGGCTCCAGTCCCAAAGAGCTGACATTTTAGAACACCTGAGAGGTAGCGCTGTGCTAGATATTATTTGGGGGAGGTTACAAACATGCTAGATATTCTGGACCCTGGACTATATATCTAGCACCTGTTAATAACAATTTTTAGCAGATATGTTAAAAACATGCTATTTGCTAGATAAAAACTATATTTAACATGCTATAAAGATTTGACTATGCTAATAATGAGCTGTTGCTAGTTATCAATGTTCCAATCCTTCTCCTCATCCACCTTCATGGCCATTGGCTTACCTTGGGGTTGAAGAGTAGTGCCCCAGTGCTGTTAGGTGGATTAATGTTGCTAAGCGGATGTTGGCATTTCGGTGAAATAGTCACATTTGAGTCACATTCACATTGAGTCTCCTTCTTGATTTTGCAATTGAGTGCAGAATATAGAAATAGTATCCAGAACAAGAGGAGCAAGTTAGATACTGTTTGCTTAAATTCTGAATATTTATCAATATTTATCATCTACATTTGAGGGGCTTGATGCTAAAAATGTTATAAACAGGATAATAACATGCTAAAAATGGCAGTGTTTTTAACTTCTGAGTTCTTAGCACAGCGCTACTGAGAGGTTTGGTCAGAATTGTCAGATTGTCTAAGTGAAAATAACTATTTGTTAGTCAGTGACAAACATATGTTAGGTCAGATTCTGACAATTGACATCCAATGTCACCGGACCCTAGCCCATCATGGAGGAGCTTCCACAAGAGCTTCTCGACGCGATTCTCGACCAGATACACGACCGCAACACCCTAAGGGCATGCTGTCTCTCTGCCTCTTGCCTTCGCCTCCGTTCCCAACAACGACTTTTCCGCTCAATGCGAATTCCACGCGCGCGACGGCCCCATCGCCAGCACAAACGACAACAACGCAGAATTATTGCCTCAATATTCGCCGAGTCCCCACATCTTGCTCAATACGTTCGAGACCTCACCGTAGAGCTTGCCGTCGAGGAAGCCGAGTCCGCTGAACTGAATGTGATCCTTTCCGCAGTCAGGAATCTGCGTGGCTTGGCGGTCAACGGACAATACACGGACTGGAGCAACATCGCAGCTGGGACGACAGGACGGATTGTGGAGTGCTTGAAGCTTCCCTCGCTGCAGCAGGTGCGATGGCAGCTGCTTATTTGTGTTCCAGTCGCGGTTGTGCAGTTGTTGCTTGCTGTGCCCATCGTTTCACTCGACATTGTCCATATGCTCTGCGATACCGACATTCAGCCCCATATGACCCCTCTACATCTCAGAGATTTGAGCTTTATGCGTGATGGAGGCACCATATCCCGGTTTCTCCTCCAGTATCAGCACTATCTGGTCCATCTGAAACGAATGGAGGTGCGGACAGAGGAGTACGACGAGCAAGCTACGCTTTTACAAGCTTGTTCTCCGACACTGGAAACACTGGCGATTGTAATATCAGGCAGTGAGGCTTTTTTTTATCTCCTTGCTCACATCTAACAAGTATAGGCACATCCCCGTCGATTCATATCGCTCCTCTCCCCTGTGTACGCTCCGTCGAGATAACAGCATTCTCCTTTGGCAAGGCTCAACTCCCCCGAACTCTACTCGACATTGTCGAAAGTCTTGCGGCGTTTCCCACGCTTTCCGCCATTTCTTTCGTCTTCAAACTCCGTCTCCTCCCGGGTTCAGTCAACGACCAGGTCGCAACATGGGATTTCCCGCCCCTTCCAGCGTTTTCTATTGAAAATTTTGCGAAAGATGATATATTCGATGCCTTGCGTTTGGTTCGCTGCCGGCTGGTCATATATCTTCCTCAGGAAACGCGCACTCGCAACGTCTCGCTGGACGCATTGCTCAGTGGCTTTCGGGCTGCGGTCAAGCAAAGTATGCCTGGTCCTTATGCTACAGGACTGTTGGACATCTCTGTAGCTCGCCCACGTTATTGCTCTTCCTAATGCATTCATTCTTGATCATGGCAAAATTTTGGGACATCAAAATGCAACTTCTCGCCATTGAATACAAGTTATCTGGAGGCCGGACAACGCACGTTGAGCCCAACAAGCCAGCGTCTGACGCAGTCCCGCTTTCCACTACGTCATTTTGTCTGGTATATTTAAGTTGACCAGTCCCAGTTGACTGCCCTGACGGACCTCTAATCATCCCTCAGAAGACACAAGACGTCTGCCCATGTTGCTCTTATCATCTCTTGTTAGGCTCGGTCAGCCTATCCGAATATTAATCTAACATCTGTTCGTTGATCGCCTCTCCAGCTCTCGGGTCCATAACCATGGCACAAACACTCAAAACCGTATCCGTCAGTGAAGTAGGGCCACTCACCCCGATTGACGAAACGACGTTCTCTATTTCGGCGGCGGGAGTTGGCTCTGATGGACTGACAACCTATGTCGAGTATGGGACTGCATCGGCGATTCTACAGGTCGCGGGGACTGTCACCAAAACGCTCCTGAGTGGGGATACACCCTTTACAGGTGCGTAGAAGTCACCACTAAAAGGCCTCGAGATGACCTCAACTCTTGATAGCAACATTCCGCGAAGATGCATCGCACTTTGAGATGGGAACCGCCAGTGTCGGGCCAGCATACGAGTCGTGCATATTTCAAGCGGACGGAAAGGGTGTCTGTGTCTACGACATTTCCACAACTGGCTCGTCCGCAGAGATCACCGCAACGTTTACTGGCTTGGTTGTACCGTTTTATACCCTTGATGCAGCAGGTAGCACGAGTGGTTCAAGCTCGACCTCAGCAGCGAGTTCATCCGGCGCGCCAAGCTCGGGTGGGGCCTCGGCAAATGCCGCTGACACTATGTGGCGAAAGTGGCCGCCGTTATTCCTGCTGCTCAGTTTTTATCTGCTCCTTGGAGTCTAGGACTTGAGAACGTAGTTATCGATTGAAACAGAGTTTGTTTGTTCGTGCGATTTGGCAAACTTGTTCGAGGTCGAGACCCAGCAATTGACGTAGATGGAGATGGGATCACATCGGGTTCTCTTGGGACCTCTTACATTGTTCCCTCTTGCCCCCACCCTCATGTTGGCCCACTGTCGTGTTCCACAAGAAATCCTCGATCTTGTCGTTGACGGGGTGGTGGACAAGCCCACACTCAAGTCGTGTGCCTTGGCATCCAGTCAACTTCGTCACCGTTCGCAACGAGGTCTATTTCGCGACGTCTCCCTCACTACCGTGGGGGATGGCCAGAAAGACCCAATTCTCGGAGAGGGGCAGCGCATTCCAGTGGCCGCAAAACATTTCACGGAATTCCCACATCTAGCAAAACATGTTAGAGTGCTGTCCTTACGGTTAAATGACATGCTTTCGGAAGTCGACGAGGACGGCCGTCCTCGTGTAGCAGCAGACCTTGCGGTCGTACTTCGGGCAGTAGCCAAGTCAAGTTGCTTGGTCGACCTCATCGTGTGGGGTTATCTCAGCTGGAATGATTTGAACTCGGAGATTTCCACCGCGCTGCTTGAAATTCTCGCAAAGCCGTCGCTTGAGGAGGCCCAGTTCATGTCCGCCTTCGAAATGCCATTCCAAGCCATCGACCTGATGTTGCGGATGCCAACAGCGACCTTTTCACTCCTGGCCTTCGATGACTCTTTCGGACAGGCGTATCCATTGGCCAAACATCCCAGATCGCGACTTCAAACTCTTAACTTAGGCAGCGGCGCGCCGACTGATTTGTACGAGCTTCTCATCTGCCACCACGCTGTCTATCTCAAAGGACTGGAAACTCTTGCACTGTGCTTTCCGGCAGGCGGTCAAGGGGACCGACTTCTGCAGGCATGTGCTGGATCTTTGACTGACCTCTCGTTGGATATGGCTGGTAAGCGGTTCAAATAATGGACCAACGAAAAATTAACCCAAGTAATTTGCAGGCGGGCGCACCCCCACTGACGAATGCCTTCCTCTACTCCCGAAGCTACTGGACCTTGAACTCACGTTTGATTCCACCAAATTTCCTCCTGGATTCAGCAACCTCCTTGCGAAGGTGGCTGACTCTGCGCCAAATCTCCAACAAATTCACATGCGCTGCGCGCCGTTGTTTTTCGGTACCAGTCCAGACGACTTCGAGCCGGCAGTTTGGCAGCTTGACGCGACTAGTGTGGCAGACCCGCTTCCATTTCTCGGCGACGACCGCGAGCGGGGAAACACCGAGCTGTCTTGTTTGTGGGAGATAACCTGCATTTTGGATCTTGGCAACGCGCCTGAAGGGTATCCTAAACAGGAACTATATGCTAGTTTCAAAACGGCAGTCGAAAGGACGTTGGTCGGAGCATATACCGGAGGAGTACTTGTTTGCGAACTAGAAGATTGAATTTTCATCCTTTGTGGGTGTCGGTCTCCGAAAGTGGCCAGCGGCTGCCCACCATGATGTTATGTTGATCGCAGAAGTTGACGGACTCCAAGAGAAACCCCGTTGTGGTATAAACATGAAGCATTGAATGATACCGGTGATCTCGCTTCTGAGCTTGAAGCGGCCGTCGTTCTCTCTGACAAAATTTTTTGAAAAACTCGAGAGTTTAAAAGGATCGGTAACGGTCGGCGCGTCCATTCTCACCATGGTACTCGATCCAATATTCGCGTTCCACAACGCGCAATGGGTTCTCTACTATGTCCTGCTGCAGCTTGCTCTCGTTTGCCAACCCTCGCCATATCGCCGCTTGTTCTTCCTCCCCATTCTTGCCTTGACCGTATACACCGCCTACTCCACCAAGGGCGGGTGGTTTGACGACTACTTCATGGCCCTCCAGTGGACAGCATATCTGTGCATCGGCTCGGATTTCATTCTTTTGACTGATGTCCAGAAAGAGCTGCATCAACTCACGAACAGCAAGAACGGGATCAAACACGCCTCGCGGTGGGAGCGGATCTGCTGGGCGAATTCGCTGTTCTTCAGCTTCAGGGGTGTTGGATGGGCTCATGAACCTGTGGAAGCGCTCCCTCCCCATCCGCCATTGAACATGACGCGACCGCAATTCGTACTTGGGAGATTGAAACAGGCAATCATGCTCTTCCTTTTGCACGACCTGGCTAATCTCCACGTACGAGCCAATGATATGTTCCACCCCGACGGGCCAGGATGGCGGTCCAATGGATGGTTCTGGCAAATCACCGTTGTGGCATCGTGGGGATTGTCTGTGGCAACGATGCTGTGCTGTTTGTTCGTGTTATTGAGTATGGTGGCTGTTGGGCTGGGGCTTTCCGAGCCCAACGGTTGGCCGGCGCTTATGAGAAGCCCACGAGAGGCCTATACAATCCGTCGGTTCTGGGGGTGAGTCCTTGACTGGTATGATTTTCCGGCTTGATGTCTGCATAGGCGTGCTTGGCACCAACTCCTCAGGCGGGTAGGTCAAGTGCCAGTTCAAGTTCTTCGCCTAGATTCTCACCCAAATATCAGTTTGTGACTGCTCACGGAAAATACCTCACTCAGGCTCTTCGGTTTCCTCGCGGATCAAACGCATCCGCATACACCCAGCTTTTCGTGGCCTTCTTTGTGTCTGCAATCGTCCACTACGGCGCAGAAGTATTTGCTCTTCGCAATTGGGGCGGTGGAGCGCTCACGTTCTTCATGCTCCAACCCTTTGCGATAGTTGTCGAAGATTTCTTGATCTGGGTCGGTCAAAGAATGGGCTGGAACAGCCCGGCGTGGCGCTATGTCGGGTATATCACGACGCTAGGCTGGTTTGTGTGGGTTACACCCATCTGGCAGGAGCCTCTGATTCGCGAGGGGGAAATGGCGAGCGTCAGTCTGCCTGTAAGCCTTCTCATGGGCGTATGGAAGGGCCAGTGGATGCTCCCACCATTCCCCGAGCTAGCCACGACAAGCATTGTCGATTGGTACTCAAAAAATGAAGTTGCGTGTCAATCAACCGTGACAGCTGGCATTAGGTAATTATTCGTAATTATTGCAATAATATTATCCCACTGCAGTTACAGTTAATGTGGATGCCAGTGCTCCAGTTGCAATATCAAAGTTGGTATGCTTTACTAGTAGGAACACAGAGTCACAATTTCTCTATACCAGTAGAATTATTTATGTTGGACAAGTTCACATCAGAGTTTTATGTAAGTTCAAGCTTAGAAAGTTACTTGAAAAAGAAAGACTAGTTTTTAGATTAATTTGCCTCTGCCAAAACAAATAGCTTTTGCAAGCCAAACTTGAATAGAAAGCTTTGATTTTTATCAGTGAACAAATTCTTTTTTTCAAAGTTGTAAGAAAACCGGTCAGGGAAACCTCCCTTTCAGCCCCCTGGAGATGACTCTGCCAGGCTTCGGGTCAGGCTGTGCAAGGCTCCTCCTAAGAACGTGCACCGGGAACAGAACAGACAGATTGTTGGGCCCACAAGTGAAGCGAGCAGGGTAGAATCGAACTGAAAGGGCCCGTTAACACAGTCCCTGGTCAAAGTCGGTGTCAGGGTTGAATCAGGTTGTTGAGTCAGCAGTACCTCCTTGCACAGAGAGAAGTGGTACAATAGATGATCTAAGCGATAGAGTACAGTGTACACTATCACACTTTATATACGTGGGCCTGCAGAGGGGCCCGGGTGATCGGACACCCTTGGCCTCTCCTGCTCCTCCTCACCCGTATTCCTGGCTGCGGAGGGGACGATCATACATCTTTTGTGGGCCAGGCACTACTCCTAACCTCCTAGTACTCCTTCCTAATCCCCTTGTCAAGTTGGGCTTGGCAATGGCTCGACACATCATTCTCGGTCACATTCTTCCCACATGTGCGTTCCTCCTACTGGGGCACCTGTTCCCTGTTGTCACGTCCTGCATGTTGCAGGCCCGCAATGGTCTGAAACTAGTCCCGGAGCGAACAGGCCAGGTCTTATCTGTGACAGATTCTGATTCCGGTCCAATTCTGATGCCGCTTCTGGTCTGTCCCCGCTCAAGCCCGCGCCATCATGGATCTGTCAACACCCTCTCAACAGTTGCCCTGGGACCTTGCTTGTGACGCTGCCCAGGCCTTCTGTGCCCAATAGCGGCAGCTATGGATGAGCAGTATATAGTCAGCTATCTAGCAGGTGGACCCTTGAAGGACGCGGCATTTGCGCGGCCCTAGAAACTGGGAAGATGCCCATTGTGGGCATCTTTTGGAAGCACGACACCGCGTTAGCGGCGCATGACCCGGGAAGGCGGTGCGGACCGGCGCGAGAGCATCTGGTGGAGCACAGCGGAGGCTGGGGCCAGGGCGAACATGTTCGCTGCCGGGTGATGAAGGCGATAGAACTGCCAGCGGCTGGGCAGTGCTGTCAATGCGCACGACAGGCTGGATGGAAGGGTGGGTGTGGAGCAACCATGTGGAGCGAGAAGGACGCGTAGGGTGCATGTCAAACGGCGGGAGAGGGTGCAACAAGGGCATGTGTTGGTGGACATGTGACTGAGCGACGGTACAGGCCGATCGCGGAGGCCAATCAAGGGGCCGGGCCGGCAGTGCTTCCGCCTCAGCCAAAACATCAAGGAGACGCCTTTGGCGCATCAAGGGGTATGCTAAGCCCCTGGAATGAAGTCCAGAGTGTCAAGGAGGCTAGAATGGAGGGTGCTGCGTCTGTAAGGGCAACCCCGGAGGCCTGAGATCAAGGTCCTAGCAGGGGAGGATCCAAAGAGTGAATAGAAGTAAGCAAATACAAGTGAGGCTGACCTAGCAGGGGAGGATCCAAAGAGAAGAAACTCTAAGGGTCCGCCTGCAGGTAGCGGAACTATATACTGCGCTCTTGACGCGCCAAGGTTGATCGTTGCTCCGTGCAGTATGCCTGCGCCATGTCGCAGGCCAGGTCCCAGGGGGATCGCCAGGCGGGGGCGGCGATGCGCCTGACGGAGGCGGTGATGCGATCACCGGAGTCGGAACCGGAGTCGGACCGGAATCGGGATCGTCTCCGAGGGGCCGAAAGGGAGGTTCCCCTGACATCACCCCCCCCTTTGAATGCGGCGTCCCGACGCATAGACCGGAACGGAATCGAGTCGAAGGTTGCGGAGGCGATGTGCCGTGGTTTGCCAGGGTACTTACGGTAGAACTCCGCGATTTTGTCCGGGGCGAAGACGCGGTCGAAGCGGACCCACTGGTCGCGTGCGACGCGTCGTAGCCTTTCCATCTGACGGTAATTCAGCCGTTTATACCTCACCCTTGCGTCCAAGATCTCCTCTACTTCCCACTCCGGGACTCCGTCCTCGAGGTCCGGAGGGGGCTGGTCGTAGCCGGGTCGTCCGTCGAAGGGGTCGTCTTGGGCGAGCTCAAGCTTGACGACGGGGAAGACCGGGTGGAGCTTCGAGTAGCGCGGAGGGAGGTCGAGCTTGTAGGCACCTTTGCTGATCTCCGCGACTATCTTGAACGGACCGAGGCGGCGGTGGGAGAACTTCTCCGAGGGGCGAGTCGTCCTGATGTCAGAGGCATCCAGCCAAACACGGTCGCCAACCTTGAACTCCGGAGACGGAGTGCGTCTCCGGTCGTAGTAGCGCTTATACTCTTCCTTGGCCTTAGTGGCGCGGCCTTGGCCCGGCAACCCCAGTGGCAATTCGGTCGCGGAACTCGTTCACAGACTCCATAGCGGAACGGGCTCCGGGCTCAAAGCCCATGCGCGGAAGCCGTCCCGTGTCCGTCATGAAGGGGACTTGCTGCGTGGATGAGTGGGACGTGGTTGTTGTAAGCGAACTCCGCGGCCGGAATCAGCTCATCCCAGTCGTCCTGCTGATAGTTGGTGAAGATCCGCAGGTACTGCTCCAACTCCTGGTTGACGCGCTCTGTCTGACCGTCCGTTTGCGGATGATACGCGGTGGGACGTGGCTGGCTTGATGCCGATTAGACGCCAGAGTTCTCGGGTGAAGTCCGCGATGAACTGTGAGCCACGGTCGGAGACGTACTTCTCCGGAGTCCCGTGATGGCGCCAGACATTCCGGTAGTAGAGGCGGGCTGCTCCTACTGCATCGACCGTGGTATGGCACTCGGAGAAGTGGGCTCGCTTCCCAAGGGTGTCCACGACGACCATGATCGCGTCGTACCCATGGGCCTCGGGGAGTTCGACAATGAAGTCGACGGAGACGGTATGCCAGCGCTCGGGGGTGTTTCCGTCGGGTGTAGCTCTCCGTGGGGCAGTCTCCGGAGCGCCTTGGTGCGACAGCCACAAGTCGCAGGTCGCGACGTACCCGGCCGATATGGCGAGACATCTGAGGCCACCAGTAGTTCCGGGAGACCAACTCCAAGGTCTTGAAGCGACCGGCATGTCCGGCGACTCGAGTGTCATGGCAGAGCTCGATGATGCGCCTCCGGAGGTCCTTGTCCTTGGGCACGACAATCTTCCCACGGAAGTGGAGAAGACCACCGGAGACGGCCCACTCGTCGGAGCGTGAGGAGCGGGGGCCTCGAGCTTGACCTTGGACCTTTAGGAGTTGCCGGGCCGCTAGTGCGACGGGCTCCTCCAGGTCAGGCTCACCGGAGAGGGCATCGCGAATGTCGCGAAGAAGTTCAGAACCGGGACCGGAAACGGAAACACCCTCGAGTGCGCGGACGTGGAAGAGTTCGGGCCGCAGAAGGACGACGTCGGAGTTGTCGGAATCGATTCCGTGGTCGGGTCTCCGAGAGAGGGCGTCAGGTCGGCCCATGTCGCGACCGGGCTTGTGGTGCAGCGTGAAGTCGAACCGGGAGAGGTAGAGGGACCAGCGGGCCTGTCTCCGGTTGAGGTGCTGCGTCTTCCTGAAGTACTCCAAATTCTTATGGTCAGTCCAAATCTCGACGGGATCCGCGGCACCCTCGAGGAAGTGTCTATACTCCTCGAGTGCGCGGATGATCGCGAGCATCTCCTTGTCGTGGATTTCGTAGTTGCGCTGGACATCATTTAAGCTTTTGGAATAGAATGCTACAGGGTGCCACTTCCCATCCGGGGCGGATTGTGAAAGAACCGCCCCGTCGCATAATCAGAGCTGTCCGCCTCGAGTCGGAAAGGCCGTGCGTCGTCCGGAATCGCCAGGACCGGTTCCGAGGTGACCGCGTCCTTGATCGCTTGGAACGCGGAGGCCTCCGCGTCGCCCCCAAGTCCATTGCTGGTCCTTCTTGGTGAGCGCAAAGAGAGGACGCGCGAGGGCCGAGAAGTCGCGAATGAACCTGCGGTAGAAATTAGCGAACCCAAGGAACTGCTGAACATCCTTCTTGTTTTCCGGAGTCGGCCAGGCGGAGACGCCTGCGACCTTGACGGGGTCCATTTCGACGTGGTTGTGGGAGATGATGACTCCGAGGTATTCGATTGACGATTTTTGAAGTCGCACTTCTCCGCTCGGAGGTACAACTTATGCTCTCGGAGTCGGCGCAAGACCTCCTGGACGATCTGTCGGTGTTTCCGGAGGTCGGAATGGGCGATCAGGATGTCGTCCAGGTAGATCATGACGTCTCCGGAAAGGATGAGGTCCTGGAAAATGTCATTCATCATCGTTTGGAACGTCGCGGGAGAGTTTGTCAGGCCGAAGTACATCACCAAGGGCTCGAACAGGCCTCGGTTAGTCCGGAAAGCTGCCTTCCACTCATCACCTTCTTTGATCCGGACGTTGTTGAAGCCCCAACGAACGTCGAGTTTGGTGAAGTAACGAGCGCCTTTGAGCCGGTTGATGAGGTCGTTGATCAGCGGAAGGGGGTACCGGTTTTTGACGGTCATCGCGTTGAGGGCCCGATAGTCCTGGACAAGCGGAGTCCCCGTCCTTCTTCTTGACGAAGAAGACCGGAGACGCCATCGGAGACTTGGAGGGCGAATCCGGCCCGTCGACAGCCCTTCCTCGATGAACGCGTCGAGCTCGCGTTGCTCAAGGGGCGAGATGGGGTACACCTTGCAGTTGGCCGGCTTAGCGTCGGGGACGAGTTCGATGGCGTGGTCCCAGGTTCTCCGTTCGGGAGCGTGTCGAAAGACTCCTTGTTGAAGACGTCCTGGAACTCTTTAGCCCAGTCCGGGATCTCGG